CTCCTCATCCCTAGGGGCTTGATTCAAGGTCTAGAATGTGTACCATCATCTACCCTAGAGGGCTCTGCGAGTGACACACACCAACTCCAGCCGCCAAAATAGAGTCCTTCCCTTCACTCCATTTTCAAAGGACAATTTCTCCTTTAAAATTGCCCAGTGAGTCCATATCCACAGCAGCTGCCAAGATGGACAGATACACCGGCCGGCCGGCCATTCAGCAGACAGCAGTCAGACCTGCCAGTCTACGTGCAAAACTAAATAAATACAAGAATGAAAGGCAAGGAAACGAGTATCAACACCATTGAAAAACAACCATTTTAAAACAAAAAAAAGCACTAAGAAAATGAGGAATTCTTTTTCAAAGTTTAAGCTTCTGCCCTTTTCTTCATTCTCCTTCAATATTGCAAGCCCACTGTCTTTTCTGCCATCGTTTGAAGCCAACCAGACAGATTTATAACAAGATGCTGGTCCTTTTTGATTCTACTGACAAATATGCAGCCCATCTGCCTCCCATCAATGACGGAGCACGTGAAGATGGAGCAACAAGATATTTTTAAACACTTCTTTAATTCATTCATTCCAAGGGCTTGGCACATGGTGGTCGAGGGGTGAGCGGTGGCAGTGGCGGGAGAGACCAGTGCAATCGTGGTAAATAGAGAGATTCGCCGTAATCTGGATTCCAAAGCCCTTGCTACGAAGTCCGCTGCGTGCCCCAACAGCTGCTGAGGGTACGGAAAAGGGGCCTGCGTTGAGGCAGGCTGCGGCCTATGTTAGAGTTTTCAGACTTCCAGGACAAGTGCTTAAAATGCAAATAAAACTAAAATTTTATCTTGAGGATGACTCTTCTGCCCACTATGGCTAGAAGATTTTAAATTATCAGTGTCTTATTTGATAAAAGATAATTACGGCAGGCAACTGAAATGAAGAGCAGAGTCAGCGTGTTCCGAGAGGCAAGCCAGTCCCATGGGGGGAAAAATCAGTACAGAGGACAATTTAGTTTGCCTTTACAAGGGGGAAAACCAGACATCTGGGCATTGTGTGATACAGCCGTGGAGGAGGGTGGGGAGGGGAGATTTTCATTGAAATCAACCTGTGTGGAGCTTCAAACTGTGAAAAAGCTTTGCAATCCTGGATCTGCAGGATTCACGGCACACTGACCCAGAAATCTCAGACTTAGCTGTTAAATATTGCCTGTTTTTGCAGCCGAAGGACCATCTCTTAAGGACTTTTCCTGGTCTGACAATTCCCTTACATCTGAAGCCAGAGGAGACAGCAGCTAATTGTGTCACATGAAAGAGGAGAAGAAGTGGCCATTGCTCCTGATGGACAGACTCATCTTTTGGTTTTTAACATCCTGGCTTTTCCACTTCCCAAGTTTCATTTGGATTTAGAAATTAATTCTTGAGAATTAAGCTTCCGACCGCTCACAAGAGACTGTCTTAACAACACGAAACAGCTTTCTCACAGTCCCACTAACATCTATTTTACCCAGGGAGGCTGATTTTTATATTCCTGAAAATGAGAAAATGAGAAATGAAAACCACAGCGACGGCTGAGGCGTGCAATATGCAAACCCCTCTGGACCCCAAACCGCACGCCCTCCACTCACTTCCTAATAAGTCCACTGCATGGCTCTTCCTCTGACCGCCTCAGCCTCATTCCTGAGGGGAAGAGCGAGAAGGCAATCGTTTTGCTTTTGTTTGCTTGAAATAATAAATCCAGAGGTCTCCCTTGCCAGGGTCTTTTGCTGTCAGCAGTTTTCTGTTTCATTTGCTTTCTAAGTTAAACTGAAACCCAAGCTCTCACGGTTGGCTTTTGCCCTGACCCCTTGGCTCCTGGGAACTGATCAGAAGGCAGATGGCCTTGGGTCCCTGACATACATGGTCACCTAGCCGCCCCCTAGCCCCAGAACGTATTTCTAAAATGTCCACCTCCACAGCGTCTGGGCATCCAATAATCTCAGTCCATAATGGACACTAACCTGTCTGCCACCAGCTTCTCATAATCTCTTTCCAATTTGGGTCTGAGACCCAAAATCGTAATTCTAGCCATGTCAGGAGACTCAGAAAAAAGAATGCTCAGCTATCAAATTAGACCCTGCTCTGCAAGAAAATACCTCTCAGGGCCTGGGAACTCCCAGAGTCCACTGCTGACTTTTATAGAAACTGGATACTAATGATCCCAATTCCAAACAACCAGAAACCTCAAATAACCAGACCGTGTTTGAGTATGCTTTGCAAAAGCAAAGACCAAGTGCACAGGCTGATAATAAGAATATTCCAAAAGGCAATTTGCAGGGTGTGTATGCCAAGGGTTTGAGAGCAAGCTGGTAACTTTCTGTGCCAGACATGCCTCGTACACTCTTCAGTGATAACTGACACTTCCAGATGACAACCCACAGGTCCTGCCAAGTCCTGGGATCTTCCTAGAAAGATGACGCCACGTTCTATACCATCTTATTCTTAAAGCTCAAGCTCATTGGACTGCCTGCTTCACAGTTATTGGAAGAATCAAATGTGATTATGCACAAAAACAAGCTTTAAAGTGGAGAGCTAAACAAACAGAAGATGTCACTATTGCTTCTAATAATTCTTTAAAAATCGGTAATTGACATATGTTGCTGACTAACTACATCATCAAATAATTGGTAACCGGGACGGTCAGTTTACCATACTGCCCCGGGCCCCAACATTCTGGGTCAGAGTTGAACTGATAAGACATACACTGAAAGCATATAACCATATTGCTATTTTCGCTTCTTTCGCAGCAACATATGTTTCAAGGAAACAGCTTCAACCTTGTAAGAAGGAAAAGGCTAACAAAGGAGACCAGCCTGAGGATTCTCGGTGAACTTCCCTTTATAAAGCACCTTAACCAAAGACGTGGGATGAGGAGAGAGGATCTCACCAAACGATATGGACAATTTCCTAACCAAAGTCCTTGCCTGGAGCCAGCCTTCTCGAAGCCGGCTCCCAGACCGGTCATGCCTTTGCACCCCCGGGGTGCCCAGCATGTGAGAGCCACCCAACAAGTACTCAGCCAGAGCTCCTGGAAGAAAAGGTGGAAGAAAGGAAGAGAAGAAGCAAGGAAAGACCAGGGCTTCTGAGAAGGTCACGTGCTCATCAGTTACTGCTCCTAACTGATCATAGGTCATAGATTTTTATGTGTTTGCCAACCTTTCAAATTTTCTCAATTCTTTTATCTCCTAAATACAAATTTCTTTGGCCAACCTTTTCTTAACTACGCACAGTGCACAAATGCGCATTAATTGCAGGTCAGTCTTTTAAAAATACTGAAAATCACTTCTGCTCTATATTTAACGTCAAATCATTTGGCAGTTCTCATTTAGGACAAAGGTGAGATAAACACACTTAATTCGGGTTTTTTGTTGTTGTCTTAACCCCTCCGTTCACTATCCAGCCATCAAAATAAGGAGCGAGTTGGATGCAGAATTTGAGAGACCACCACCATCCATCTCTTTCAGAGATGTTTTCCGACCTCGCCTTTACCAGCAGGGCTAAATCTGGAAGGTGCTGAAGGCAGCCCCAACTGCCTCTGCATCTTTGCTAATAGGAAAGGCTGTTTAATCAAACAGTGGAAGGCACTGAGGCTGAGCCATACGGGCTGTTAATATTTAATTCCAAAAATCTGCGTTAGCACGATGTACCACCCTCCTTGTACACAGGTGTCTTTCCAGAGCATCCTTTTGAAGAAATAATAATCCAAAAGGTCCACACTGCTGGACTGTTAGGACGAAAAGAAAGAAGAAATCTCAGGCTACCACAAAATGCCAGACCCCTCTGGAAGGACTCCAGGAGACAGAAGAGGGACGAGTTCCTTCTCCTGGACGCAGAGAGACAGTTTCAGAAATATTTTCCCTTTTCGGAGTTGAAGTCTAGAGATCTGAGTTTGGAACCAGCTCTTTGCTCCTAGAGACTCATTCCCCCAAAATAAACGTGCAGAGTTGGTAAAATTTATTAGAGAGAAACTCCGGAAAGCGCCCGCCCTAAGGACTCTACGCCTGTGCGCAGAGGAGCTGCGGCTATTTGCTTTCCGCATAATATGGATCCAGTGAGCTCCTGCAAGTGGCTAGTGCAATTGTGTGAATTAACCAACGGATGAGCCCCCTAAGCAGTCCTTTTATTCCTGCCCAGCCTCAACCAAGCCAGAAAAGTTTTCTGGGAGACACAATTCCAGGGACGTTGTTCTAGCCCTTTCTTTTGAGGTGTGAGTGTTCAAGGCATCCTCGCAGCACCATCTCCCTCTTGCTAGGACAGCTGTCCTTATTTATCACTGGAAACATTCTCCATCCAACTGCAACCTCAGGAAGCAGGAGGCCACGGGCAGAACGGGGAAGCCAATGGGGACTCCTGTCTCTGCCCCAAACCACTTATTTTCCCGCTTCTTCCTGGGAAGCACCCAAATCTCTTCCACTCTTCCTTAGAGCCGGCCAGGGAGATTCCACCATCGGGGACAAGAAGCGAGCCGAGCAGGCCGGCATCCACTCGGCCATTCTGCAAACCTGACATTCAAGGCCGCGCGCGCTGGTCCTCGCCCCGCCCCGGCCCCGGTCCGGCTCACGCTCATTCATTCCCGGCCGGTCCCACCATCCAGCCCGCGCCGCGCTCCATGCGCCGCTTCCCCGGGCAACGTCTGCCGCTCACGCCGTGCCCAATCCCTTATTGTTTTTAAACCTCAAAAGTAACCACCAGAGGATTTTTTTCCCCACACTCTTTTTCACACATCCTTCGAACCCTTTGGATTAAAATAAAACAATCCTCCATCTCTCGCGTCTTCTAGAAGGTTAAGCAGCAAGCTTCAACAGAGAAAATCAATGCCCTCCCCACCATCCCACCCCCCCCCGCCCCCCCGCCAAGCCATCGCTCCGCCAGGGTCTCAGAGGCCTGGCGCCGACATCTGTCTCTCCCCATCCCGGAGAGGGGGCCACAAACCCGCGCGCGCCCCCCGCTTCCCTGCGGGTACGAGAAAAGCCCCCTCACCCTTCGGTGGATGCCATGGTGTGGGGAACGCCCCCTCCTCTTCGGCACGATCCGGCAGCGGCGGCGAGGGAGAGAGCGCGCGCCGGGGTGAGCGCGAGTGTGGCCGGGCGCCGTATTTAAGGGGGGCCTCTCCCCGCTTTCCCACCCCCTCCGGGGTAAGCCCTTCAGCGCCTCCAGGGGCGCAGGAGGCTCCAGCGGGCGCTAATCCGCGTCTCGGCTCTCCACCGCGCGCGTCCCGCGCTCCCCTCCGCCGGCCTCGGTGGCGCTCGGCGGGGCGCTCGGCAGGCTCGGGGTTGGCCTCCCCGAGAGCGCGCCGCCCCCGGGGCTGCGGGAGGGCGCGCTGGAACCGTGCGTCGCTGCCGCCGCCGCTGCCACCTGTGTTTGCCGCGGGGCTCGCAGGCACGGCGAGTGGCGGAGCGCGGGCAGGGAGGGTGGTGGCAGGCGAGGACGAGGAGTGCGTGTGCGGTGAGTGTGCAGGGGAGTGTGTGCGTGCGCGCGTGTGCGGGTGTGTGCGCGCCGGGGGAGGCGGTGGAGGCCGCTGCGCCCTGGCTCCGCGCCGCCGGGGAGGGATTGCGAGGTTTAGCCCCGCCGGAGCTGGGGATTTGCAGGCGATCCCTCTCTATTTTCGTCGAGAGCTGACATCACCCGCGCCGCCGCCTCGGGAGACTCCTTTAACTGCCGCCCCCTCGCCCCCCATCTCGAGACGCCGTCCCTCCTCCGCCACCCCTCCCCCCAGCCTCTCGCCATAAATTAGCCGAATAAGAAGAGGCCCCGCTGGTCGCCCGGGAAGGCCTGGGCAGCCCGTGGCAGGAGCCCAAGATCTAAGGAGACGCTATTGTTTCCTCTGAAGCCCGTGTGGCCTCGGGTCACCTCGCGCGGGGCGAAGCTCAGGCCACGGCGCGGAGACCTGGGGCGCCCCTCCATCCCCGCCTCCCTCGAGCAGCTCTGGGCGCTGCGCCTCACTCCTGGGCACACTTGCTCCGGCTCACACTCACCCTCAAGCTCATCCTCACAGGCGGCACACCCACCCCGTCCTCCCACGTCTCCGGTACCCGGGCCCGCGGAACCCAAGCGGCTGAAGCGCAGCCCAGCTGCGCGCCCTCCCCCGTCGCGGCCCAAATAAATCTCTGGCCTTCAATTATTCATCGGGATTAATATTAATGCAGCTCCCTGCGGGCGGCGGGCGGGGTGTTGGGGAGGTCGCGGTTTTTTTTAAGCCGAGGGCAGTTGGCCCTGGGGGCGCATGCTGGCAAGGTACGGAGAGCCGGCCGAGGCTAGCGGCGGGGGACGCGTCTCCACCCCCTCGGCCCCGCTCCCGGTTGGCTTCTGAGCCCGGGGGCGGCTCGCGCAGACAGATGGGCTCGGGGAAGGGAGGGTCCGAGCCTCCCCGCCGGCTTTGCATAACAATGACGAGACCCGTGCAGATTTTATCTTTGGGACACAGCTGACACCTACAGCTGCACCACCTGCCGGACGCTGTGAACGCCGGGGAGCGAAAGCCTCACTTTCCTCCTCTGGAAAATGGGACCAAAAATAACCCTCTTTGCAGGGCCGCGGTGAGAATTAAACAGGCTCTCTTGCGAGAGGGATTTGCAAGTGCCAACGCGCCGGAGAGCCGTCAGCGGTGCTGGCCCGTCCCTTGGAACCTGCCAGGCTCTTCCCAGCGGGTCTTGGAACCACGCCGCTCTGGTAGCGTCCGCTCGTCCTTCCTCCCCAGTCTCCTTCCCTCCCAGGGGGAGCGCTCTTCAGTCCCTTGTTGGAGGACGGAGCGCGGCGAGCCGCGTGGAGACGCGCGGAGCGCATCCCGGGACCTGCCGAGAGAGGCGGAGTCCCAGCCAGACGGCTTCGAGGTTCAGCGCCAGGCGCAGGCGTCCCGGAGGGCGAGTTCTTCACCACCTTCCCGTCGAGTAATCCGGGGCAAATTCCTCAACCTTTCCTCCTCCCATCTGCAAAACGGGAGTAACATTCCCAACCTCTCAGTGCCGAGAGAACTCAGTGAAATGTAAAAGATACGCAAAGCTCTTAAACTAGAGTCTGGCAGCCAGTAAACCCTCAAAACTTGTTCGGTTAAGTCTGAGAGTCGTTTGAGGATAGTTGCTTGAGCACGAGATCCAAGGATGAACACGCAGCTGAGAGCAATAACAAGAAAAAGAGCAAATAACTAAACAGAAGTCTAAAAATAATGAATCTCTGCTCACCTCCTCTCTTCACCTCCCTTCCCAAAATCTGAGTCCGAACATCTTCCTCCATCCTGCCTTGCTCCTTCTCTCCCCTTCCCTTTCCTGCTCTCTCTCTTGCGTGTCTGCCCCGTTAGATTAAACCGATCTGTATCTTAATCATCCCGGGACCCTTCACAACCCCTCTAATTCTGCATTTCCTTTTTTAAAATTTAGTGATTAAATTAATACGTTAATCTGTATTACATTAACACAATCGGGTACATGTTTTTAAAAATAATCATTTGTACGTGAAAAACTGCCGTCCTGCACGTTGGCGATCTGTTCGACGCTGCCTTCTCTTTAGCCCCCACCGAGGGGAGATGCGTGCGTTTGTGTCGGAAGTCGTCGGGGGCAGAAGCTTTACACTCATTTTGTCTTTACAGTTTAGGGCCTTTACCTCCCTTTCTGCTGAGGTGGCAGCTGGAGAACAAAGCCCTGGGACTCTCCCCCAGGCCGAGACGTTAACGATCCCAGCAGCTCTACTGCAACCCCCTTTAAGACGAGCATGAACTCCTCCATCGTGATCCCCCAGTGGTTGCGCGCAGGCGTGGAGGGCGGCGCCGCAGGACTCGGCGCTGCTGCAGGGAGTGAGGCGCCTGGTGGTCCGTCAACACAGAGTAACGGAAAGGAAAAGAAAAGGGGTACTTTCACTTTTTAAACCAATTAAAAAATACTCTCAGGGCATTATGCTAATGAGATAAGTCAGACAGAGAAAGACAAATACTGTAGGGTATCATGTATATGTGGAGTGTAAAAAAGCCAAACGTAAAAACAGAGTAGAATGGTGGTTACCAGGGGCTGACGGGTAAGGGAATGGGGAGATGCTCTTTAAGGATACAAACTTGCAAGCAGTGGATAAATTAGTCCTGGAAATCTAACGCACAGCATAGTGATTATAGTCGACAATACTTTATTAAAAACTTCAGTGTTGCTAAGAGGCTAGGTATTAATTGTTACCACCACAAAAAAGAAATGATAATTATGTGGCTCAGTAGAGGTGTTAGCTAATGCTATGCTGGTAATCATTTTGCAATATATAAATGTATCAGATCAACACTTGTACACCTTAAACTGGCACAACATTGTATATCAATCATATCCCAATAAAAACAAATTTTTCAAAAGCCGCTCAATTGCATGTTCAGTGTCAGGCCCTGAGAGAATCCAGGTGTGTCGGCAACACGGCCAGTGAGATGGGAGCAGGAGCTACACGCTGCCTGCTTCTCCATGAGTGACCTGTCTGGGACCCTGACATCCCATCCCACACTTGAGAGACGTTTGCGTTCAGCTGCCCTTGGAGATGAGGCCTATTAAGTCATGTGGAATATGCCACCGATAATTCTGGTTAGTAATCATTAGCAAGAAGGAACTGACTCTCTTTCCTCGCACCAGAGGGCCCCTGCCAACCTTCCCAGCAATTCTTCATTTTTTAAGCAAACTGGAGCAGTGCTTTCCAGTGCGGGCCGCCCATGAGAACATACCAAGAGAGCCTTTTAGAAGACAACAATGCTCGGGCCACCTGCCAAGCATTTACGTCCCATCAGTCTGGACTGGGGCCCTGACTTCGGTATTTTTTAAAACTTCCCAAGGTGACTGATTCTACCGTCCGGCCAGTGTCAGGAACCACTGGACTAGAGACAGTTCAACAAGACGGGGAAGGACCCCGGCACAGGGCCCTCAGAAGTGGATGGAGTAAATTGGTGTGTTTAGCCTTTGGAAAGAGAAAACTAAGGAAGCCTTAACAAGGCTGGCCCTTCTCTCTTCAAATACGGGGAATCACTTGTGTGTTATTCTGGACAACCATTGCGAGAAGCTAGGAAGCACAGAGCTCTCTTCTTAGGTTGTGCACACATGGATCACTGAGGGTGAGCCATGACGCCGCACTGCCTCGGGGCTGGACACGGACTCCCCTCGGGTCCGGCAGACCTGCGTTAAACACTGCCCATGTCCTGGATTCCTGGCTGGCCGCTGCAGGTTCTCAGCTTCTTCATGTAAAAAATGGGGAACATAAAATTACCCGCCTCGGGACCGTCGAGAGATTAAATGGGGTAACATCTGGGAAAGGCTTAGCTCTGAGCCAGGCCCATCGCGAGGGCTCCGTAAAGGCTCCTCCCAGACACACGGCGGCAGCAGCACGCTCACAACTGAATCTTCCACCGTGCTCACTGGAAAACCCAGCCTCCCCTAAAGCCACCTCAGGATGACCCCATTAACTCCTTTTTATCCTCGCGACAAACTGCAAGTCTCCTGGCCTGCATTAAACCAGGAGAGCCTTCCAGGAGAACAGAGCGAGGCCAACGCTGCAAGCTGGCGGGAACACGTCGGACTCGAGCATCTCTCCACTCCTCTGGGGCTTCCACCCTGACAGCGGGAGCAGAAGGAGTGGGAGGTTCCAGGGTCTGCACACTGGTGTACCTTTCTCACTCTAGCTCACAGGTTCTCAAGCAGTGTCAATAAGAGCGACTCTGCAGGACTGAATACAGAACAATCCCCGTACTGTCTTCTGATAAGCGATTTAAGGGACTTTCAGAGTTAATTTTTACCGTAAGGGACTTTTTTCTTTTGCCTTATTATTGACTTAAGGCCTAACCCAAGCTCTGAGAAGTGACTTCTCACCATGGAATGAAGGTGGTGTTTAAGCTGGGGCTTCATGGGAGTCTTGGTGTACCCTAACATTGACAGAGTCCTTACTGCATTCAGAGTACATTAACATGTATAACCTGGTTTGATCCTTAAGATGATCTTCTACAGAAGATATTAGTATTATTACCCCCATTTTACAGAGCAGAAAACTGAGGCCAAGAGAGATTAAGGAATTTGCCCAACGTTACACAGATAGTAAGTGATTCTATCAGTCAAGGTCCCAGCTAGAAAACGATGGCATATTCAAATTAAGTAAATTGTGCACAGTATAATAAAGGGACTGTTTAGAAGGGTATGGCAAGGACAGAGGGGAACTCCAAGGGAGAGACCCTGTGGGCTGGTAACAGTGGGGCAGCATTACCCACCTTCAGCCTGAGGAGAGCTTACTGGAGCCTAGAGGGGAGTGTTCTGTGGAGATCACCCGATGGGAACTGAGACCTTTGTTGCCACAGCAGTCTTCGGAAGGGGGCCTGGGAGTAAATGGCTTGACCCCACTTCCCTCTTATCCTTCTCTCCCTTCTGGGGCTCCCTATTGGCCAAAGCCAGCTGAAGCTGGAGAGCAGGAGAGCACACTGATACAATTCACGTGCAGTCGCTCAGTTTGGCCTGCCTGGGGAACACACAGGATGGAGAAAGGCGGGGAAGGGGTCGGCAGGGCCCATGCATGAAGCTGGGTGCGGCTGGGGTTTGGGGGCAGGCAGCCTCCCTGCAGAACCTTGCTTCCACCCTCTCTGCCATGCAGCCTGTAGCAATAATAATGTCCTCATTGTTGCAACAGCTGCCCCCATGGCACGCAGGGACCTCT